CTCCGAGTCAAGCACGCTTAATTTTAGAATTCTTACGATTGAGTTACCGAAAAGGAAGGTGCACCTTGTTGGTATATGTAGTAACTATCAATTCTTTTAAGCCTTTTTCTTAACCATGCTTCCATGGTCTCATGATCCCTCTCATTCGGATGTGGTATCGGTTCATTCATGTACCTCTCCTCTTTAGTCGGGCGTCACACTTCAGTAATAGAACAAATCAGGTATATCAGTAATATGTCAACATTATAAAAGTCAAATGTGATTTAGGTTATAAAAGATAGGTATTTCATCTAAATCTATAAATAAAAACAATATATTTCAATAAGAGAAACTAAACCTACACAATAAATATAAAGAAATATATCAAGTATATCAATGGTTTATTAGAACTCATAATTAGATATATAAATAATATATTAAATCAGGTATATTAAATGACATATCAAACCTAGTATATCAATGGTATATCAAATTAGACATATATATATCAAGTATATCATTGTTTGAGTTGTTTCGTGTTTGGTATATTAGATTTTTGCTTGCTTCCGAATGAGTTGTACTTCCAAATTTGCTAATTGAAAAGTGATTTCTACTTTTACAAATTCCTATTATTTTTTTATTGCTAATTTTGTAAGCTCCCTTTATATAAATACAGTGAATTAAAAATAACTTGTAATCCATATAAATAAAGGGTGAAATGTTTATTTGTTAATTTAAATATTTATTATGATTTTTTTTAATTTTTCAAAAAATATCTATCCACATTGACATTTGATCGAACTCACAACCTCATAATTGGAGATATATGTTAGTTACTGTTCAACTATGCTCACTTTGACTCGAACTTGATTTGCACTTTGACAGGAAATGCTATAATTTAGCATAAAATTATGAAATAAGACCTAACAAAAAATATTAGATATGAAAATTAGAGTTACAAATATGTAAAGAAGGTAGTTGCAAATTTACCTAAAATTTTGACTTTTTAGAAAATTGAATACACCAATTCTACTCTCAGACAATTTCAAGATGTCACTTTTAGATTGGTTTAGTAAACAATTTAATTCGGTGATTTTTCATTCCCCATCATGGGGCCAATTCCAATTTCATAAAATTACACTTATAATTTAAAAAGGCAACATTATTTTCAAAGTCAAATTAGAGAATAAAATAAAATCAAGACCAGCCAATAAAATATGAGCAATAATGGAAAAAAAGATATCTGGGGACATCCTATAATCACATACAAAAATGCTATCCTTCATCTTAGGGAATCTCGGACACTATGCGTCCCTTTATGTGATCCTATCGAGATAGATAGACTTACTTCTCTTTCGATTGATCTATTGATCAAAAACATCTAGAAACGTCACGTCAGTTTAGAATTCGATTCCCAAGGCCGACTTTATTGAGAAGATTACTTTTTTTAGGTCGAGACGATTCAAATTGTCTCAACATTTTTAGTACAGGTCAGAGTCAAATAGTAATTTTTAATTTCATAGAATTACAGCTTAAATATGAATAATTAAAAAGTTAACATCATTTTCAAAAGCTAAATTAGATAATAGATTAGAACTAAAACCAACAAATAAACCACTCAAAAGCTTACCACCAAAATGTTCAAAATCTAGTGGTAAAAAAATGACAAAACATTCAAAATCCAATGGTAAAAAAATGTTCAAACTTATAATCAGATAGCAAAAAAACACTCAAATCTACTATAAAAAAAATGTTCAAATCTAACCAAAACAATTTCTTGCTCTATTTTTTTTTTCTTTTTGAATGCGTAATCCAAAGAAAGTCCAAAGCCAACTTATAAAATAGGCTCATCCAATCACAATAGGACTTATATTATAATATGGAGAAATATTAATTTCAAACTCTTTTGAGTATATACGTTTAATTCCATTAAATGAACACCAAATTTAAAAGTTCATAAACTCAATACCAAATTGCTCAAATTCAAATAAAAAATTATCTAAGACAACAAAAAGAATCAATATCCACAACAATAACCTTAAATCACTCACAACTAGCCACAAATCTTCAAATTCCAACTAATAGGAGGCTATGTTAATTTCACTCCTTAAAAACAAAAACCAAAACATGTTTGGTAACTATTTTTAGTTTTTAGTTTTTAAAAAGTTAGAAAATTGAAAATACATATTAGAGAGAGAAAATTTTATGTAGGGTAGAGATGACAATGGTGTGGGTGCGAGTGAGGATGCTCTCCCCAATAATCGAGCTCGTGAAAATTTGTTGTCTCCGTCCCCACCTCGTTCTTGGGTCCAAGATGTTCTCGAGAAAAATTATCGGTTTTATAATTGTTTTTAATTATTTTTAGAATTTAAGCATAAAAAGTTTAATAAATATAAATTAATTATTTAAAAAATGAAATCGGGTTAGAAAAAAAGTAAAAATACAGGAAAATTTGGAAAGATACCAATTAAAATAAAATATTCAAAATATGAAAATTTTAGAGAGAGAAAAATAAAATTTGTAGAGAGAAATTTAGAAATAAAAAAATTTTAGAGTGAAAATTTTTTTTAAAGATAAATATGAAAAAAAAGTTGAGTATTAGAAGAAAAAAAATGAGATTTTGGAAAACAAAAACCTGTTTTTGAAAACTAATTTTTTTTTTAATTTACATAGAATTTCAAAATAATCGTTGAAAAACAAAAAATAGAAAATTGAATTAATTATCATATAACTCTATTTTTGAAAAACCAAAAACCAAAAACCAAAAATCAAAACTGTAAGATTAAATTTGACTTCTTCAATTGAGCAGATAAAAATTAAAATATTTTTGTAAATAGTTGAAAAGATATATCTTTGACCCTACGCTTAGTTTAATAAATTTATTTTAATTTTAAACCTTAATTTCATCCAACAAATCATGAACTTGAGTAGAATCAAACTAGTTAAAAGTGAGCCAATTAAATTGGTGAGAAATCAAAAAAAAATTCCCCTACTATTTATACCTTAGTGTTTCTTTTTTCTTTTTTCTTTCTAACAAATTTTTTGTTTTCTAGGGTTGTGAGATCCATTTCTTTTACAATATACACAACATTATTTTTAAAAAAAAACCCTCTTTTTAAGTTTTTGTCTTTTACGTTCATTTTTGTTCTGATGCTTTCAAAACATTTTGACATCTATACTTTTTGTTTTTATTTATTTAGTCTTGTATATTCAAAATGTTCATTTTTGTACGTGTAATTTTAAAAAGTGACCAATTTAGTCTTTATTTGCAAAATTTTAACACAAATTTCTATACACAATAAAAATAATTTAATACAAATCTCCGACTACTAATGAGTGAAGTGTTATGCTAAAAAAGTTCCTTTTTAATATTACATTAATTAAAGTGGACGTTTTGAAAATATATGGACTAAAATAATAAAATTAGAAATATAATAACTAAAATAAACATTTTGAAATTACATGAATCAAAATAAATCAAAATCAAAAGCAAAATGAATCAAAATAGTATTTAAACCAGTTGCTATTACGGGTGAAAAGAGTCCAATTGAGGGCTCTAAAATTATTCAAATAAAAGTAGCAGAAAAAAAAAAACAAAAACAAAAGATTTGGCCCACCAATAATCAAAATAAACATACAATGTAAGAAAGAACTCAAAAATCAAAATGATTCAACGGATAGTCTGCCTTTGCCGTTTGGCCAAGTCCTTATGAACAGCTCAAAGACGGCCATATAATATAATTCTTTTTTTCTTTCTTCTTCTGCTCTCTCTGCAAACAAATTCCCCAAACAAGGTGTTTTGAATTTCTTTCCCATCATTCTCACAGCTTCCCTTTCGCTGTTTCTGCTTTTCAACGCGTTTCCTCTCTCTAAAATCAGTATATTTGCTTTCGGACACTTTCAAAATTCAAACCCAGAGAACCCCAGAAGCCAAAAAGTCATGGCCATGGCCGCCGCCGCCGCCGATCTGGTCTTCTTCCTCATCTTCGCCTCTGTACCCTTT